TTGAGATATTCTTTAGCTTTTCTATAGGTAAAAGCACCATAATTATAAGATATGTTGTAGTAGCATTTTTGCGCATTTAACTGAGGGTTCTATATATTACGAATTCCAGATGTCGAATATTCAGAATTAGTTCAGATGCTATTAATTTCAGTCTATTATAGTAATCGTCAAATATACTTGTTATTAGTTTGTTAGTATATTTTTAGTCAAATTAAAATTATCGTCCACACACATAGATAGTTAGGAGTTCATAAACAAATGATTTTCTTTTTTTGAAGCCAATTATAATATTCTATAACATCTCTCCTTTGAGTAACAACGTTAAGCATTATTTCATGAATGACAAAAAATTAGTTCGTTTGATTAAAATCGAATGGAAGTATTCGGATTATTTTTTGAATGTTTTATTACCAGTTGTTCTATATTGTCTAGATGAATCTGAGGAGTTAAGATTTCTTTTAGATCTCAAATTCTCAGTATACATTAGAACAACTACGACAATCAGATCACCATCTAGACGTTTGTTTGATAGTTTGCTGTAAAACTTAGAATTTCTTCCAGAAAATTTGATAAAAAAATTTCCTATGTAAATATTATTTTGTCCACTCTTAGTAATAGATGTATGACGAATGCTATGCATTACAATCAATGAGCTATAGACAAATCATGTGGCGCACTCTTTCTTGACGAGTCATCATACAAATGAAAGTCCATTATTTAATATTTATTCTTTTTTTCTTTCTCACACATCATATCATACACATACACGTGAATATCTAGTTGTGAAACAAGGATATCTTTTGAGTCATATACCCTTGTAAGTAAGCATCAAATTTTCGTAAGACAAAATGATTTATCGTTCATTCGTTCGTTATTTAGTTTTGGTTTTTAATCAAAAATGAATTTCAATGCAAATCAAGCATCACAAACAGCAAATTATGCTGGACAAGCCATGAGTGCTTTTCAAACAGCAGTCAATATCGACAATCAACAACCGCAAGCTGAAGGAACAACATTTTGGTTTCGTTGGCTTATTCGAATTGTAGCCATTGTTACTGGCATTCGTAAGTTCTCTTTAAAAAACTAAATTTTAATTTACTTTTTCTTTTCATTTTATAGTTGCAATGGTGTGTGGTGTTTTTGGCGCACTTAGCGTATCGGCTTCATGCATAGCAGCTGGTGTTTTAATGATGTATACTAATTTCTTTTCCTATTGATAACTATAGATTATATTTCTTTATAGATTTTTTGGTTTCTCAATGATTATGTTCGAAGTACCAATTTGTTGTCAATTTGTTTCATATACTCAACCAGTTGCTAAATTTTCTGAAAGACGTCCAACATGGCAAAAAGCTATGATTTATTCAATGTTAGTTGACTAAATGGGGATTAGGGTTAAATTTATTTTAATTAGAACTAAAAAATTCAATCTTACTAATGTCTAGAATAACTTTTAGTCAGATATTAACAAAAAAAAGCAGAAGAAGGATATATTTCTACTTTTGAATTGCTTCTTCGATTTCGATTTGTTTGACAAAGAGAAAACGAAAGATAAAATTTCTTTATGCATCGTTTAGACCACCACTTCTTCCACTTGTTCTATGCCAATCGGTAAGCATTGTATTGGGTTTCATTTGTTTACTTGTTAACGGAGCTATTCAATTCATGTTAGCTGTTGGCAAAAAGTAATTAAAAAAACGATATTATTACTAAGCTCATTCATGCATTTTATTATTGTTTTAGAGCATCAAGAGAAGAAATGCTTAGTCGAGCTGGTGTATCAGGTGCGAACGATCGTGGACCACCAGTACCTAATGGTCCTCCAGTAAATTCAGCCGGAGATAAAGGTTTTACATTTACTCAATTGCCTTAATTATTCGAAACGGATTCCATTGGTGACAATTATTCCACTTGTATTTTTTCTTTTTGATTATTATCATTGAACAACACTAAATGTCTGTCTTTGCCTTTTTTCTTTAAAATCAAATTACGCTAACAGCATATAAAATATATTTATTGTTGCTATTTATCGATGGCTAGTTTTTAACTTACTGTTATCATGACGTAATATTATTGTTATTCGTGATTTTCCTTCATTCTATTGATTTATTTCTCTGTATTTCTAACATTTTCTTTTCTTGCTAATCTTCGAACCAAAATTTATAAAAAAAAACAAAACAAAACCGTTTGTCAAAAGCTTAAAATATTTTTAATATTTTAATAGAAAAGAAGTAAGTTATGTGATATTACGCGAACATACGGCTTCGTCTAACTTTTCAATGGGTCAGTGAACGATAAGCACATGAGTGTTTAGGTCCATAATATCGACGAGAACAAAGAAAGTCAAGGCAACTATGAATCGAAATGGATACAGGAATCTATCGATGTCATCTTTTGCGGGTCAGTGCCCTCACCCATACTCAGATGCTTGTGTGCTTAAGTATCCTTGTGCTCATCATTCCGGTTCCCCTATATATTGACATTCAATTTGACTTCTTATATTGGTTTTTATTAATAGGCAAAATAAAATCTTTGAAGATCAATAAAACATCTTTTTCTAATGAAAAAATTGTACACATAAATATTTTAAATATTTTGTTAATTCATGATTGTACAGAAATAAGTCAATTATATCAATCAATAATGCAACTTCACATATGACTGTAATACTTGAAGATACTATTGGACGAATAGGTATGTAATGACTTATAATTGGTATAATAAATACAGGAGCCCATCCTCCAACAAATACACAAAACATTAAGATCATGTGTCTTAATAAATAAATATCACGACGGCTAATTTTTGTTTGTTGAATATGTTCGGAAATAGCTTGTGGTTGAACACGACGAGATGAAGCTCGAACATAATGATATATAAGCACATTTATAATCAAACACATCATTGAAGAGACTATTATAGTACCAACAAAATAAGAAATAGACAACCACAATGATCTACCACAAGGCTAAAGAATAATAAAAATATAATTTATATTATTTTTAGTAAATAGTTACTTATAAAAAGTTCATATAAACATGACAACTATTAGTATTCAGCTAACGTATTAAGGTATTCTTTAATCTTACTACTAAACTAATACGTCAGTAAATATTCTTACCAATTTTATACATACTAAGTTTGGTATTATTAAAATAAATGCAAACAACCATTGACATCCAATACATAATATAATCCATCGTTTAGTTCTGAAAAAACTTTTCGTATGATAAACTATAGAACAATAACGATGAATTGATGTTGCTACAAAACTAAATGGTACTTGAATTGTAAATATTGTTTGTGTAATGTATAAATAAATCCCAGTACTTTGAATAAAATCTAAAGGGTACTCCATGAACGGTAATGCACGAAAAGGAAGCCAAGAAAGACAACAGCATATTGATGCAAGACATACATTAAGTGTAAGTATATTATTATGTTGGTGAAAACGACGAATAAATAGAATTGGAATCATATATATTAATGCAAAAATTATATTAGCAGAAAGATTAATAATATGAACAACAGAAAATATACCAAAATCGATATCCATGAACGAAAAACATAGAAGAGAGTTTAAATTTTTCTAATAGAAAAATTAAAATAAAGAAGAACAGGTATCAGCTTGTTATTTATGCTTTATAAAGGACAAATGATGAACTGTTCTAACTCTATAGTAAAAGAATTCACACTAATAGTTCAAATTTATAATGACTAACGATAATAGAAAAACATGTAAGACTTCGATATGATATACATCTCCATTTTCTTTCTCAATACTAACGTGACAAATCACTAATTTCTTTCAAAAATGCTATCAAAACATTACCGCGCAATAATCTAATTTTTTTCTTATTGATATTAGATCAATTACTGATCTTAAATCTACAAACAGTATTTCTTAGAATAGATATCTATTAGTTATTCTCTTAGAATGCAGAAGTACTTTGTCCTTTCTATTTTCAACATAGATATAAAGATTTATCACGTGTGTTTAAAGATCACTAAAACAAAAACATCAGTATTTAGGTGTAATAAAAAAATCTTGTTTAAACCAGCACCTATACACAAAACAAAGACAAAGTTCAGCAGACATAATTCATAGGCATCAATGATCGCATTGTCATTAATACATATCAGAAATTGTTAACATTATCTTTAATTCATTTAAATTAGCTAGACAATGTTATGAGAGATGGAATAACTCTGTCAAATATTCGTGTTTTTTTTTGAAATTTAGATGTACTAGAATGTTTTACCTGAAACATTCAATTATCTTCTTCATCATTGTTAAATATACTGTTCATTCTTCTTTCACTAAATGTTCACGAAAACTTAATTTCGACAATTTCACTTTTACGATAAAAAGAGTAAAGAAAAGACAGCTAGAATCGCGTCATCATTACAAATTATGCATAACATTTAATAGTCCAAGAACAAACAAACAGCAGATTTTTATATTTGAAAGTATCTCTAATTCAATACATTAGAATCCGGAAAATCATTCCAAAATTATCTAAGATTAGTCATTGTCACTCATACACAACTTTAACACTCAACTTAAAATTAATATTTTGCATATCCCTATTAGTTAAATAATGTGACTGCTATTCACTTTATAAGAAACAGATAGTCTTAATCATTCAATTCACTTAGTTTGAATACATCTGGTTTTTTTTTGTAAATATTTTCATGTGGTCATTTCCTAGATTCATACAAATACATATATAGAACTACTCAAAAATTATACGGATTAGTTAGCCAATCTTATAATGATATCAAATATAGTTGACTAAATGTATGCATAGTAAGAGACAAATGATATGATAGATAATTCGATCTAAACATATTCATTATACACGATATCATTTCGAGATTTCGCATATTCGTTTGTTTCTTTTATGTTTTATTCTTTCTTAAATCTCTCAAATATCAAGTTGGTAACGAATGAGAGAAAAAAAACAAATGTTAATAATCAATCAAAAACATTATTTTTTTTATTTCGATTTTTGACCGGCTGCTGGTGTTGGTACTGCTGGTTCTGCTGCAGGTCCTTTCTTTGATTTCATAACCATAGCGACAATACGTTGTTCTTCAATAAGAAAAGCTCGAACAATACTAAAAAAGCAAATTGTGTTTTTTTTTCATTATTTGAAAAAGAATTTGGTTATTTATTACCGAAGTCGAACACATTTAGCACAACGTGAACCACCATAAGTACGTGATACTGTTTTTAATCGTTTGGTCATTGACATACGTTGTTTTGGACGAGATGCCTTAATCTAAATCACAAATTCATAGATTAAATATGAAATCATTAATAAAAACTTACTCCTGGTAATTCGACTTTACAATCACCACATTTTGGTACTGTTCCTCGTTTTTTTACATATTGATATGTCAATTTACCTCCGGGTGTCTTAACTCTAAATACAAAATTGATTTTTGTCTTTATTTTTTTGTAATAAAATATAATAAAAACTTACATTTTAACCTTATTTGATTTGGTGTTATAGGAAAGACGACGACGATAAGTTAATCGTTGAACCATTTTGATTCCTTACTTTTCTGTATAATAAACAGAACGAATCTTAAACAAAAAAGATAAACTAAATATAGATTTCGATTTTAAAAGTTGAATAAGTTTCCAAAAATCAATGAAGAGAATAAACAAACAGATAGGTATATCGATATTTTCATTGGTTAATTCTTAATATCAAATCAAAATATGTTGCGAATCATCGAACCTCGCTCAAAGTGCATTTGTGTGTCAATGAATCGTTCTAAAGGATGTTACCTTGTCATATATATTATTGATGGATAAGTCTGTTAAGATAAATAATGTAATGAATCTGTAGTGAAACAGCAATTGATGACATTAAATTTTACTAGTAAAACATGCAGAACTATAAGTGATATATCATTCAATATGTATCCCAGTCGTTCGAGTCAAACTTTTACAAGCTGAAATTTTGAGTTTTTCTTTATTCACTGAATGAAATGATAATTTTTTCTATAATTTTTTTTCTTTTAATATTAAATGAAAATGGTCTTATCACTCCAAGGTAATTCATACAATAAACAAATGAATAAATATTTTTTTTTGCTAATCGAACAAAGATAGGATGCAAAGAACATGGAACAATTATGTCTGTGCTTATTTTTGTTTTTTTTTGATCTTCATCCGTTGTGCTAATTTGGTTAATTCGTAATAAATTTTCTATCCTAAAACAAGGTGTTCGATTGATAATAACATTAAAACTTATTTTTGTGATGTTGAATGATATCGATGTGGTCGATGACTTTTAACTGTACCATGCTTTCCTTTTGCAGCTGGTAAATCAGGAAGAATTGGTGTATGTTCAATTTCTTCTTCTAAACGTTCGAGTTCAGCAGCTGAATGTAAACTTTTATATAATTTCCATTCATCACGTTCTTCATGTTCAACTAAATCTGAATCAAAATCAGCATCACTTCGTCGAGTACTTTTATGTAATAAATATTGTCGACCATGTTCACTCATTTTAGGTGCTAAAGCTTTCATTAATAAATCAAGTATATCTTGTATTTGAGCTTCTTTAGCTAAATCAACAGCGGTCATACCCTCCCAATTATTTAATAATGGATTAGCACCATTATCAACAAGACTACGAACAATTGATGCATGATTAAACATAGTTGCAGCATGTAAACACTAAAATTAATATGAAAAACATCTTAATTAATATCATAAATAGAAAACAACATAAATCGGGGAATGCGAATTTCGCAGCACGGACTTTCTTGCGCAATTGCCAAAAGTCAGTACTGCCAAATTCATGCTACCCCATAAATCGAAATTAGTCCGAGAAGAAATATTGAAATCGTTTAGATCTTATCTTTAGTCAAGGATAAAAAGTTAATTTTATGAAATTATAATTATTTAATATCGTAAATCGTATTTCAAAAAGAATTAAAGAACATATGTTCGATCAGATGGTGTATCATTAACAGTATGTTTTATAATATTCAGAACAAACGGATGTGTTTTTCTAGAGCTGATCAAGTTTCAAACAAGTCGCTACTCTAATAACTAGTCTGGAAGATTATATTGCAAAGTACATATCTCTATGAGCTTAAATTCTGAGTACATCCTAATGATGACCCGATGTATTGGTGAACAAATACTCAACTCTTTCGAAAAAATACTATGGCCATAATTAGAATATAAGTCTTTTACAAACCGATTCTCCATTTTTAAGTAATTCAAGATTTGGTTTAAATTTGAGCAATTTAGTAACCAATGAATCATATCCTTTTTGACAAGCTTTAAATATTGGTGTTGCACCATCTTCACGAGCTAAATCAATTGTTGGTTTAATATTTTCAATATTTTCATTTAAATAATCAAATATTGCTTCATGTCCATTTTGAACAACAAGAAATAATGGTGTAACACCATCTAAACGTTGCATAGTTAAATTGCACTGGCCAGTTGCTACAAGCATTTGTACAATAGATAAATGTCCATTTTGACATGCTAACATAACAGCAGTTGTACCATCATTCATTTTAACATTTACATTTGCTTGTGCACCTATTAATAATTGAACAATATCAGCAAAACCATGTTCACATGCGACATGTAATGGTGCTGAACCATCGAATGTTGATAAATCAACAATAGCTTTATATTTATTTATTAAAAGTTCAGCAATACGTGTATGATGATATGATGCAGCAAAATAAAGTGGAGAAGCTCCAGTTATACGACGAGCATTTGGATCAGCACCATTAGCTAAAAGATATTCCGCACATGAATAATGTCCACGTGCAGATGAAAGTAATAATGCAGTTGAATTTTCTCTATCACGACAATCAATAGGTAA